ATGAGAACACAGCAGTTGTTAAAGTAAGAGAGTTAGCAAGACAATGCTCACCAACAATAATAATTCTAATAACAAAATATTTTTAGGCAAATTAAAGGATTCCAAGGGTCAAAGGGAGAGCTATACTAATATGTTCTACTTTTTCTCCTAATACAGTAAAGGCATCTTGAATAAGTTGGCAGGTAGGTTAAGTAATCAAGATGTAGGCTCAGTAAAATTGTTATGAATATATATATATTTATAAATAAACTATTTTTGCTTTACTTATAATTCCAATACATCCCAAATCACATGTCTTTACTAATTCTTCATGTTCCTCATCCCACCACAATTTTAACAACTGAAAATAGCTCAATATTAGTGACTATTAAAACACAGCTCCCACATATATATATAAGGACATACTGAAAGATTAATTTGAATATGATAATTGTGACAGAAATGTAAATAATATCGATGAGGAAAAGAAAGAAAAAGAAAGAAAGAAAGAAAGAAAGAAAGAAAGAAAGAAAGAAAGAAAGAAAGAAAGAAAGAAAGAAAGAAAGAAAGAAAGAAAGAAAGAAAGAAANGAAAGAAAGAAAGAAAGAAAGAAAGAAAGAAAGAAAGAAAGAAAGAAAGAAAGAAAGAAAGAAAGAAAGAAAGAAAGAAAGAAAGAAAGAAAGAAGGAAAGAAAGAAAGAAAGAAGGAAAGAAAGAAAGAAAGAAAGAAAGAAAGAAAGAAAGAAAGAAGGAAAGAAAGAAAGAAAATGAAGATAGACATGCACACATATATCCAGTACAAGAGACCTAGGATATACTACTGTGTTATAAGGATAATCATTTTACCTGTTTTGCAGTATACTGGGAAGCAAGTTATTTTATATGAGTTTCTTAACACTAAAAGACTTACTGCATACCACAGACAACCTTCACATAGGACATGGAGCAAAACCAGAGCCCTCCACTAGCTGATCCAGGCTGTGCTAAAGGATCCAAGAAAAGTTTATCACATGCAGGGAATTTGCTCACAGTTTTCATAGTGTATCCCCCGATCTCCCACGAAAGGAATATTGACTCCAGCACAGGCTTCCTTACCTACAGCACTTCACTTTCCTTCCTTAGCCACACATATCCAATACAACTGATATCAGCCTCATCTGACTGACTCACATTGAAAGAAAAGAGGAATAATAGGAAGAATATCATCTTTGTATTTTTCTCTCTTTCTTAAAAAATAGTCCAAGGCCTATGGGAATTATAGGGAATATTGAATGCTAAACCTTAATTAGAGACAAAATGTGGTAGGTATCAGATATTCTATTAGCTTCCACACTCAGACAAAAATTCATAGAAAACAAGAATGTATTTAGACCCTATTGTTCTCAGAAAAAAATACTGTTGCTTACATTTCATCTTTGATAGTTTTGCTTAATTTTAAATATTCTGAAGAAGCAGCTGACAGAGAAGAGGAGGTTGTTCACTGGTTTATAGATTATTCTCTCTAGGAATAGAAAGTTATTTTTAAATCAAAACTTAGAGAAAATAGGAACAAAGTAAACTTTGATCAAATGAAAATATTTTCATGAAGCAAGAAGTAATTCAAAGAAGCACCTTACCTTACTTCTTAACAACAAAGCTTCCTTACCTGCTTTATCAAATATATAAAATAATATGAAGCTTTGTTGGTGAACACTATCCAGACCCTTGTTCTTGATGGAAGAAACAGAAGAGAGCAGAAGAATTCCGTTCCAGAAATGCAAATGATAGGAAAGGCTTTATTTGACAATCTTTTATTTTTTCCAGAAGTTTTTATCTACTTCAAAAGACATGAACTTGAGTAAAATACTTCCAGTTACTCCTTCTCTTGAAACTCCACCGATGCAGTTAAGTACATAGGATGAAAATAGAGTCCACTGGGGGTAAGGAAAAATTGCACAGTGCATGAGGACTCTGCACATGATCCAAACTCCTAATTATGAGAAATTAGCCCATCTGTAACATGAACTATTGCCAATTCCTTCCACAGAATGAGTATGTGGAAAATATCACACCAAGTGAGATAATTGTTTGTTATTTCCATGTCTTTACACTGAAAATTAAACCAGATACTTGTGTGGTAAAAGCCACTAGAAGCAAATATGAATTGAATTTAATCTCTGGTCTCTGATATAATCAGAGCTATAGAATAACAAAAATTTTCTTAAATACTGAGTTGAAAAAAAAGTCACTCATTAATTGTATTCAGATATTATCACTAGAATGGTTTGCATGAACCAAATAGTTCATTTTTGCAAGGACCACAGAGTTTATCTTCTGGGCCATAACAACAGGTTATAGTGCAAGTGAGTTGATGAGAACACCTATGCCACTTTTAATGAAATAAGTGAAGTAAAGAAGAAACATCATACTAAATAAAGTCATTATTAAAGTCATCCAGTACTGTCATAAATTTGTGATCAAGTAGCTTTTGTTTGATTCAGCACATTTCTAATTGTCTGAAGAATCCAGGAGAGCAGCCTTTTGGCACAACCATCAAAAGGTCACCATAAAAATATCAGATATTTGGCATACCTCTACAGCCCACTACTAGAGTGATACTCTGCAGTTGTTAATATATATTTATACTGCGGGGTAGCCAAAAGACCTCAGTGAAATCTGGACCCTATTGTGCTGGGCACTGTAGAAACACAAAAGGAAACAAAGCCCATGCCCCAGAGGGCTTGTAGTGTAAAAGGGAGAGAGGTACAGTGCAGGGGAAGGCAGGAGCATGCACTAAAAATAAAGAGTGACTTTTTAATATCTGCATCTGTTTGTTATCTTTTTAAACTGCCAAGGGAGAAGAATAATCCCAATCTGCTCCCTTAAATCTGCCTGGTCTATTTAGCTGTCTGAATATTCTTTGCAGTGATAATCAAAGCCTGATTTTCTTTTTTTCTCAAATTTTCAATGATTTTCTTCTGTATTTTAATGATTTCAATCCAAAAGTTGTATTTCCCTGATTTTTACAAATAGATATAAAACTAGGAAAAAAATGGAAATAAATGGAAAATGAACTAAAATGACCATCGAGGACACAAACAGGATGGGAAATGCAGTCTGAATTTAGTTAGTCTAATTCCTGCCCTTGACAATTGCTGGACATACTTTCATAAAGACATAGATAATGTCCTCTAATTCCACTTCACGAGTCTATTCCTGTCAGTTAAACATTACCTAAAAGTCCCCATGGAGGTATCCGTTTAAAGCAGTACTGAACAGTTTTTCACTCTTTTCTAGCCATCTGGCTGCATACTGAATTATTAGCTATTTTACTGAAACCTGAGTGGAAAACTGAAGGAGCAAACAAAAACACAAACAAAGGAAACGTACAAAGTAAGTATGACAACCTAGTCCAAAATTACAATTTCTTCTGAATCACTAAATTCAGATCAAGGCAACGTAATAGAAGCAATCTCAAAAGAGTTGTAACCTTCTGCTGTTTTGAAGTCTCTATCCCTCCCCTGTCCATATGCACAGCTGTAAACACATACTGTCTTCTTCCCCCTACTATCTCATTCTCCTTACAATCACTAGAAAATACACACATCCATTTTTTACAATTAAAACTTAGAATGCCAGAGGCTAGCATTCAAAATTATTTTGCTTACCATTCCATAATTCTTCTTAGGATCAAATTTTAAACGTAGATACCTCAGTCCTACTCTTTTCCTAAGTACTGACTTAAACAACAGAATGTGGAAGCTAAATGTTTCATTAAAGAACTCCTATGAGAAAAGCTCATTACAATTTCTATATGAATAGACAAGAGTCCCTATATTAAAATGAAGTCCCCAATATATTAAAATAAAACAAAATTGTCTTAGCAAACCTCTTTTTTCCTCATGGTCTTCTCTCTTCTCTGTGCAACGTTGTTCCATCTTACACATACACTTAGATGTGCCATAACAGCGTTGTTTAAAGTGCATAAAAGCTATCCACAGCTCTCCTAAGAATGGAACTGTTTTAATATTTTCTGATCCATGTTCCTGCCACAAACATTCACCGGCAGTATGATAGCTCCAAGAGCAGACATCTGATTCTTGACATTTAAAGATACAATACTGGTGAAAAATAGTGACGCTGTATTAACTGCAAACAGCTTGTGAGGGAGTAGGTGATGTACTCCTAAAATGTATAATCAGAACAAGCAATAATTTCAACCTTTTGATTTTACACTTTTGAATCAAAGCCATGAGAAAAAGAAATAGCCAGATAAACAAATCTGGACACTTTACAATAACTATTTTACCAGATTTTATATTAAAAGGCAAAAAGAAAAGCAGATTGCTTTTCTGCTGCAGGGAGTACTACGGTACCTCTAAGTTTCTCAAAAGGGTCTCAAAGGCTTTCATAATAAAATAGGCAATAAATGAAGGCAAATCCTAAAATTACAGAAATCAAAGATTTTGTATCCTGGTAACGTCCTGTTAATTGACATTGCAATGCTAACTACAAGCCCTGCAACATCAAATTCTCTATACCCCTACTGTGAATGCCTTCTAAATTCAAAAAGGACATAGAAAGGTCTTATTTTTTTCCACATGAAAAAGTTAAGCCTGTTCCAATAAAACCTGCTTCTGTGAAATACTGAATGCTGGCGAAAGAAAGAAAGAAAGAAAGAAAGAAAGAAAGAAAGAAAGAAAGAAAGAAAGAAAGAAAGAAAGAAAGAAAGAAAGAAAGAAAGAAAGAAAGAA